TTGCACAGCCACTCCTCAAGCAAACCTTCAAAATGATTCACATAAGACAACTCGAGCTCCTTCAGTCTCCTTAGGGGATATTGATGGATTGAGACAGGGAGAGAAGATGATCCTTCATAACCAGCCGTGTCCATGATTCGCAGCAATGTATCCAAGCTAGCGAGGCCCCAATGCAGAGAACCATCAAGGGTTGGGAATGCAGGGATCTGCTTCATCTGGTGAGGCCCCAATATCGTCAGTGAAGACAGACAGGGGAAGCTGCAAGGGGACGGTTGATCCGCATCCTCAACACCAACAACAGTAGTGCAAGTGTTGTCCTTCCAGAACCCTTTTAGGTCTGAACAGAATGAGGTGTTCAGCTTCTTCAGAGCCGGATTACGATGCAGAGGCGGGAGGTATTCGCATTTCTCACAGAATTCTAGTTTAATCTCCTCCAACCGCAGCATAAAAAAGTCGCTTGGAAAGCTCCTGCCTGGGTACCATTTTATTGTTAGCTTCTTCAGATTGCTGTGTGGGCGGAGCCTTTCCAGCAAGGCTTCCGTAGCAACAACATCCTGAGGTCCATAATCCCATATTAGGGTTAGTGACTTGAGATTCGTCTTCTCTTTTAAAAAATGATGTTGGTCATCACAACCATCCGTCTTTAGGAGACTACCCACGCCTTTGATTGTCAGCTCTCCACCCAAAAAGTTGAGTTGTCTCAACTCTTCCAACCCAACAACAACCTCACCACCAAACTCACTTGGATCAGCCACGATGAACAAGTCCAATGTAAGAAGGGAAGTAAGGAAGTAAGCTTCCCAATCCCCTTTGGCATGTGAGTCATCTTGACACAGCCGTCCACGTAAAGATGCCTCAGATTGACCAGCTTCTCTATGTCTCCAGGCAGTCACTCAGGCAACGTACAGTTGGACATGTTAAGCACTTGAAGGTTTATGAGGGTGGTGAGGGAAGCAGGAATCTCGGTCATCAAGACATGAGCGAAATCGAGATATCGCAGTTGTTTCAACTCACTGATCACATTTGGCAAGTTGAACTGCTTGAAGTAAGAGTGTTGGATGACCCATGATGGCTGTTTTTCAGACAATCCCAAAGCACTCACACGTTGCTCACGAGTTTCTAGAATTAGGGTAGCTGAGAAAATTGTGCAGAGGGCAAGTGAGCTGCTCTGTTTTTGTATTCAGCTTCATAATCCGGATTACAGTTGATTGCCACGTGTTACATTTCCACTGGCTATGTTTAAACTTAAAACAGTAATTATAACGGCTAACCTATCTCTAACTGGAACGGTGTCGTAGCACCTCATAAGAGACAACTTCTTATGTGAAACATCTCGTAGTAGAAACGTTTCTTCTTCTTCTTCTTCTCCTTCTTCTCGTTCTACAATCCAGCTGCACTTCGAATTAGAACTCTGTCACCCCCCTTCAACTTGTGGAGGGAAGTATGACTCCCAACTTGATCAGCAAGTCCTTGAGCCTAGCCTGCTCCAACCCTTTGGTAAAGACATCTGCAAGTTGGTTTGTTGTAATGACATGTTGCAACCTGATCAGTCCAGTTCTTATCCTTTCTCGAGTTACATGAATGTCAATTTCTATGTGCTTCATCCTCTCGTGGAACACGAGATTCTCTGCTATGTGTATAGCAGATTTTTTGTCGCAGTAAATGGTGATAGGTAGAGGAAACTTAACACTCAACTCTTCCAGCAATCCCTTCAACCACTGAACTTCACACACTGCCATTGCCAATGCTCTGTACTCTGCTTCTGAGGAAGACCTGGAGATAGTAGTTTGCTTTTTAGTCTTCCATGTAAGTAGCGATATTCCTAAGAAAGTACAGTAGCCAGTAGTAGATCTTCTTGTGTCTGAACAGCTTGCCCAATCAGTCACAAAAACCTGTCAATTTCAAGTCTGCTCCACTGTCAAAATGGATCCCTTGGCCTGGTCCATTCTTCAAGTATCTCAGGACTCTATGTGCTGTTTGGAGATGCTCACAGTGTGGTTTCTTTAGAAACTGACACAATTGTTGGACAGCAAATGCCAAGTCTGGCCTTGTAATGGTGATATAATGTAGCCTTCCTACCATTCTTCTATATTATTCTGAATCTGGTAGTGGAGTACCCTGAGTAGTAGAAAGCTTCACCTTGTAGTCAATAGGTGTTGACACCCTTTAGCCTCTAGGTATCCTGTTTCCTTCAACAACTCAAGACAATACTTCCTCTGGCATACACTTATCCCACTTGTTGTTCTAGTAATCCAAACCCAGAAAATACTTTAATGGACAAAGCAGCTTCATCTTAAACTCATGGCTTAACAATTTCTTCACCTGCTCAATGTCCTTTGCAGCATCTCCTCCTATTATGATATCATCCACATATATGAGTAATACCACAATTCTGCCACGAATCCATTTAGTAAACAATGAATAATCAGAAGCAGGCTGACTAAAACCATTTTTCAAGAGAAAACTGCTCAATCTAGCAAACCATTGTCTTGAGGCTTGTTTCAAGCCATACAAAGACTTTTTCAGTTTGCAAACCATCTTCTGTGAGCCAGATTGTTCCAAGTCTAAACCTGGTGGCAATTGCATATACACCTCTTCATTTAAGTCTCCATGAAGGAATGCGTTTGAAACATTCATTTGCTCCAATGTCCAGTTCTTCACAGCTGCAATTTCCAACAAGGCTTTTACTGAGTTTATCTTAGCAACAAGAGAGAATGTGACTAGGAAGTCAATTCCATAGACTTGGGTATACCCCTTAGCTACCAATCTGGACTTGAACCTTTCAATAGTCCCATCTGGCTTCAGCTTGATCTTATACACCCATTTGTTTCCAATGACTTTATTTCCTTCTGGTAGTGGGACTATGTCCCAGGTTTGATTATCTTCTAATGAATCCCATTCTTCTCTCATAGCCCTCCTCCAATGCTCATGTTTAATAGCTTCCTGGTAAGTGAATGGTTCTTCCTGCTAAATAACTCTTAGAGCATAGATTTTGTCTGCAGTATTTAGATGATCCACATTCAACACTATAGGGTGTCTACTTGTAGTTGCTGCATTGTGACCAAAAGCACCAAATCTCAGAGCAGGATCCAGTTCACAATCATCATATTTACTGGGAAGCTGATAGGTTCTCTTAGGTCTTGCTTGTGACTCAAAATCCTGCTGAGGCTCAAGTTCTGGATCAAGCTCTACTATGTCATGCACTTCAGTATCAGGTACCATTTCAGTATCAGGTACCATTTCCCCCCATCAACTGAGACTGGTTCAGGATCTGGTGAAGGCTAAGATGTAGAAGTGCTACGAACACATAAGTCAGGAGGAGGAGTAGCATCAACTGAGACTGGTTTCAGGTGGACTGGAAGGGAGGTAGGAGGAAATGGTGTGGGATCATCATTTCTGTATGGGAGGATAGACTCATAGAAGACAACATCTCTAGAGATGATGACTTGTTGGGAATGAATGTCCAGCAGTTTATAACTCTTTATAACAGGAGGGATCCCAAGAAGAACACACTGTCTGAATCTTGGGGCAAATTTAGTTATGCCAGAAGTAGGAGTGCCAGCATATGTTGCCAAACATTCTAAGGTGTCCGTGATAATGAGGTTTCTTATAGAAAACTTCATAGGGAGAAAGATTGGTAAGGAGAGGAGTAGGCATTCTGTTAATGAGATACACAGAATGCAAAACACAATCACTACAAAACTGTAAAGGTATCCCTGACTGAAATCTGAGAGATCTAGCCACGTTTAATATATGCTGGTATTTTCTTTCTACTCTTGCGTTTTGTTCTGGTGTATAGACACAATACATTTGATGTTCAATGCCCTCAGATAGAAAGAAGTCACACATGTTAAATTCTTTTCCTTGGTCACTTCTGATGACCTGAACTTTACTGTCAAACTGATTCTTTACTAATGAGCAGAACCCCTTTAACAAATCTCTCACTTGACCTTATTATGCATAAGAAACACCCACACAGCTCTTGAACAATCATCAACAATGGTAAGTAAGAAGTTATATCCATCATAAGACATAACAGAAAGAGGTCCCCAAATGTCAAAGTGAACAAGCTAAAATGGCCTAGCTGCATTTGTAGTACTACCAGGAAATGGTAGTCTTTTGTGTTTGGAGAAATGACAAATGTTACAATGATCAACTTTAGAGTGTGTTACAGTAGGCTTACTATGCTGCAATTACAAAAGAAATCCGACAAACAGTACAAAAGAAAATTACAATATATACAAAAATAGTCATATAAACATTACAAATGTAATAGAGAAAGATGACAAACAAGAATCATAAACAATACAAACCGAATTGGTATAAACATTACAATCTTTATGAACTACAATGTATACAAATTTGATAGACAAAAATGACAAAATAAAAGAATAAACATTATAAACCGAATAAAATAAACATTACAAACCAATTTACAAAGATTACACACTAGGCCGACAAAATTACGAAATCGTCGCCGCCAACAAATCTGGCGAAGTCGTCGTCTCTCTCCTCCTCAACTACCTCTGCCTCTTTCTCCTCCACGGTCGTCGTCGCTCTCGTCTTCTCTTGCCGTCGTTGTTCCTCGTCGCCGTCGTCGTTGTTCCTCGTCACCACCGCCGCACTCTCTCCTCTACGGTCGCCATCGCCTCTCTCTCTTCTCCTTTACCTCCGCCTCTCTTTCTCTCTCTCCCCGACACAGAATGCCCACTACCGTCATCTCTCATCGCCGTCGGCCCCTTGCTGCCGTCGTCTCCATGGATCCATCTCTTTCTCTCTCATACATTAAAAGAGAATCTCTCTCCGCGTGCGACAACACAGGTGAGGGAAGGACTCTTTTATTTTTAATTTTAATTATAAAATTAAAATATATAATTACTTTGTTGTCCTTCTTTAAAATAAATTAATTATAGCTTTAGGATTTTAACAAACATGGAAGGCTGAGATTGACTTAGCCAAATGACTAAAGGTACCCTTAGTCACTTGATCTTCGCCCCCAAATCCCAATTCTCTGCCTTCGGCCTTCAATCTAGGGTTTCTTTCGATTAGAAAATAAAATAAAAAAATCCAATCCAGCGTTCTTCTTCTCTCCTTTCCTAGTTGCGATCCTCTTTGCTGCGAAAGATGAACCAAAAGCCGACCCAGTCGAGTTTTGATTCCGACGGCGAGCAGACGGTCAGCTCTGAGCGGGCGATTCCTCTCTCGAACACTTCCGCAGATGAAACACCTGGTTTCGGATCTGACGCAAAGAGGCAGAAGGTCGAAGAAGAAGACGAGAAAGTCAAGGGTGGCGACGGCGACGTGTCCGTGGAAGCCGAAGATGATGGCACTGACGAGATCGAGGATGAAGATGATGATTTCGTGGAGGTCAATCAGTATTCTCCGAAGGTGATGACGTGGAACAGATGTTCGGAAGATGATGAAGGCTACCAACGATACGTCAAGAAAATCGTTGATAGCCAGGTTGGTTAGGTTTACTTTCCACCCAATATTATGTGAAGCTCTCTCTTTTTTTCTTCTTTTTGTTGTTCTTTGCTCATCTTCATGTTTGCTGTCATTTGTCAGGGTTTTGATTTGGACGAAGACCCTCGACAGGAGTACCTTTTCCCTGGTTTCGGAGTGTGTAAGGTCTACTTTGAAGATCCTCAGCACGCCCATCACAAGGAATATGTTCGCAAGTGCATCACCGAAGCGATTAAGCAACAGTCTGAACCTGTCTGTTGATTGCTTAATTTCCTTTTCCCGAGCTTCCATTATAATTTTTTTCGTATGCTATCATAACACAGCTCTCTACTCATCTCTATGTTGCAGCTGACGTACGTTGATACCTTGAGTGCGAATTACGCAGTAAATGTTGGTTACATCTATTTCATTACATTTCGAGCCACGCAGAATTCGACATCTTCGGAGCTCAAAACCTTCCAAACCGAGGTTTCACATGACATTTGGGGTGAGATGAAGGTAGAAATATTCCGGGAGAAACCCCAGTGATCGAATGTAGCTTATCAAGACCTTTCTAGGGTAATGTGTTAACCATGTAATCAACTCCTGGATTTTGTGTTTTATGACACTTCCGATCCTACTCATGTGGTTCTAATCATGATGCTTGTGCATTGAAATTTTGTTTGCTTCGTTCAGCGATGTTAAGTTATTGAACATAGAGGTAACAGTTAATATCTTTGTATGGTTGGTGCGTTACTCAGTTACTGTCGGAGCAAATGAATATGCAGAATAATTTTTTGATGTGAAATCAAAAATTGCATTAAGAACCCGCCACAATCAGTGAACTCCTGATGGACCTCTCATAAGCATCATCCTCTATAAAAGAAGTACAATGCCACTATCTATACTACTCCAAAACTATCAAACTCTAATTGGAGGGCAGGATCTCCACTCACTCGATAGAGGACTTCTTCACTTATCTTCTTTACCGTCGCATTAGGGTTTCTGATCGCTTTTGAACCATACAGGCGGGAGCACCTCTCGCGCCACACATGACTAAGCACAACACTCCAATACACACAACACAACCTTGACCTTGGCGTCTTCAAGTTCCACTCCTTTACACATCAAGCTACTGTCTCCTCCTAAGTCCCTATAACAGGTGGAGAATGGGTTTTCAAACACTGTTGCAACACAAAAACAGTATAAGAGCATTTCACGAGCAAGTGCTCTCTGCTCTTCATCCCTCCTGGCCACAACAAACAAATACCAGACATTGGTTTTTCCCAAGACAACAACTTATCTTGAGTTACCAGTCGGTTATGTAAAGCCAACCATAAGATCAGTCCATGCTTGGGAATTACATCCTTTGCCCATACTAACTTCCACCAGATAACTTCTTGCTATTGCTGCCTGATATAATTCCACACTCTGGAAACCGAATACCTATTCATTTGCTCAACCATAAGATCAGTCCATGCTTAGGAATTACATCCTTTGCCCATACTAACTTCCACAAGATAACTTCTTGCTATTGCTGCCTGATATAATTCCACACTCTGGAAACCGAATACCTATTCATTTGCTCACCTTGCCACAACATACATGTACTAGTATAGAGACAAATGAGTAGGCTAGAGCTCTGCATTTCAAAAACCGTTTCCAAATCCATGTTCTTGCAGAAGTGACTGAGATATCCCAGAGACTTTTACCCCTCAATTTGTACCTGGAAACCCAGGCAACCCACAGTGACCCACCAGAGGTAAGAATCTCCCAGATATGCCGCAGAACACAAGCTTTGTTCCAAATAGTGAAGTTACGAATGCCAAGCCCTCCTTCCTTCTTAGGAATTGCCAATTTATCCCAAGCCATTACTGCCCATTTCCTAACCCCATCTTTAGCTGAATCTCTCAAGAATTCATTACATTTCTTTGAACTTTTTGAACAATTATTTTTTGAAATCAATTTGTAATTGCTTTTTGTCGGACTAACTTTTACATGCATTTATCATTTATTGTAGAAGAATTAGTATTGGATTAGAAAGTAAAGAGTAGACCTTTTTTTGGTGCAAGTTCAAAACCAATTTTGTTAGCACGCGCTGAACATATTCCTTTACCTTTACGTAAAAAATGACCATATTTTTTATTTGTTAAGTTAAAAAACCAATGGAACTTATATTTTTTTATATGATATAATTGCATGCATGTTGAAGGACCACAAAATAGTTAGTAATTTTTTTTTCATATTATACTTGTAATATATTAAATGCGTTTAAAACACATACTATTATAGAATTGTCTGCTTATTTTTGGTTTATTTATTTTTCAAGTATTGAACCGGTATAACATGTTTAATACACATATGATAAGGAATTAAAATAATAATTTATTAATTTTACTTGATTTTTAAATACGAAATTTCTAATTTTCATTGTTAATACCAAACTGTTAAACATTACACAATGGATAAAAAAAACTTTTAAACATTAAACCATATGGTTGTTTTTTTTTTTGACAAGGGGACAAAGTGATTCCTTTCATTCAAATCAAGCCAAGGTTACAATAAGGGGGATACAACATCAAGAATATGGACCCATTCAGAGGGTAGAGAATTCTTGGCACAGGATTTAGCAACCCAGTTAGCTTTGGAGTTGAGATTTCGGCCAATGTGCTTGATCCGAATCAGAGGGCTGTTGAGCAGAACTTGCTTGATGGATCCAATCCAAGCTGCCGCTCGCCATGGCCATGTACTAGGGATACCCTGTAAAGCATTGACAAGGAGGAGGCAGTCTGAGAAGATCAGGCAGGGGGAATGGAGGCCAGCAGCAAGTCGAGAGCCTTCGAGGAGAGCCTTGGCTTCAGCTTCGAGAGAGGAAAAACAGTGCACAGTCTCAGCCTTACCGTCACACACTTGACCATGACTGTCAGAGATAACGACGCCATAGGCCGCCTCCTGTGAATCGCTGTAAAATGATCCGTCACAGTGTAGCTCAAAATCATGAGTACGTGGCGGTGGTGAAGGTGGGATCAGTAGTTGGGGTGGCTGAGGGGGGGGGGGGGGGGGGAGGGTTGGGGGGGCGAAGTTTGGGGCAGGTGCTCCATTGATGATGAGCCATGGCCGCCTTGGAGGTTGTAATTGATGGCCAAGGTCGAGTACTCTTGAAGACCATCTCGTTTCTTGATTTCCAAGTCTGCCAGAGGAGGAAGATGATCTTTTGGATTGAGGCAGCAGGCATCCTGGGTTGCAGAGCAAGCAGCCAATCCAAGATAGGAGTAAGAGGTGTGGGGGTGGGAATGGTGGGCCATTCTTGCATCCATCCTTCCGCAGCATGAGGGCATTCGAAGAGACAGTGGTGAATGGATTCAATTGGGAAGACGCAGACAGGGCAAACTTTGTTAGGTGAGCAGTTTCTTTAGTTGAGGTTCTCTTTTGAGGCAATGGCTCCTTTGGCAATTTTCCACACAAAGAACTTCAGCTTTGGCGGAATGGACAAGTTCCATAACCATTTCCATTTCTTCTTGGTGTCCCCTGAAACAGAATCCCCTTGGCCTTGGGAGGCTCGAAAGCGATTGTGGAAGTGCAGGAAGGCTGACTTGACTGTGAAGGAGCCTTGGTCAGTGAACCCCCAGGCCCAGAAGTCTTCAAGGGAGGCGGGTCCAATGGGGATGGCGGCAACTTGCTTCAGATCGTGCTGGCTGAGAAAACACTCAAGCAGATCATCTTTCCATTCACGAGAAATATCATTGATCCATGTGTCGACTGTGGATGAATCTGGCCATGGGAAGTCAAGGAGAGTCCCTGCTCTGTCTCTTCTCCATGGATCTTGGAAGATCCTGGTGGATCTGCCATTACCAATAACCTTGATGATTCCCTGCCCCATCCATGCTTTTGCCTCACAGATGCTGGACCAAATCCACGAGGCCTTCCCTCCCTTTTTTGCATTGAGGAAGTCGGTTTTGGGAAAATAGATACTTTTGAGAACATTAACCCACAAGGCATCAGGGTTTGTGAGAATTCTCCAAGCCTGTTTAGCGAGGAGCGCCAGGTTGAAAATGTGAAAAGGCCTGAAACCAAGGCCTCCTTCTTCTTTTGGAGCATAGAGGACCTGTCCAGCTCGCCAGTGTATCGTTTTCTTTGTCATTGATCCTCCCCAGAAGAAATTCTTTAGCATCGAGTCCATTTTTTTCGTTGTCGAGCGGGGGAGAAGGAAGAGACACATAATGTATGATGGGACTGCTTGCAGAACAGCTTTAAGGAGGACCTCTTTCCCTCCTGGAGACAGGAGGAGGCTTTTCCAGGCTTCTCCTTTTTTCTCCATTCTCTCAAGAAGGAAGCCAAATGTTTCCTTCTTAGATCTTCCCCACTCTGTGGGAACACCAAGGTAAGAAGAGTGCTCGATCGATGTTGCGAAGCCAGAGCCCTGGATGATGATTGCCTGTTCATCAATGGGGACGTTGAAGCTGAAAAACATTGATGATTTTTCCTTATTCACCTCTTGGCCTGTGACAGCCCCGTATCTCTCGAGGATATTCAAGATTTTCAATGCCTCTCCCGTCGAAGCCTCTCCGAAAATGACGGTGTCATTGACGAACATGCAGTGAGTTAGAGTAGGGCAGGATCTGTTAAGTTTGATACCCTTGATGTCCCCATCGAGAACAGCTTTCTCAATAAGAAAGGAGAGGGCATTTGAGAGAAGGATGAATAAGAGGGGTGACAGGGGATCCCCTTGACGAATGCCTCGGGAAGGCTTGAAAGCAGCTGTGGGCTCTCCATTCACCAGTAGCCTGAAGCTCACTGTTGAGATGCAAGTCTGGATCCAGCTGCACCAGACCTCGCTGAAACCAAAAGCACGAAGAAGATTAATTAGGAGATCCCACTCAACCAAGTCGAAGGCTTTCCTCATATCTAGCTTCATCATCATCTCTTTCTTGTTGCCTGTTTTATGCTTTTTGAAATGGTTGAGTACTTCATGGACTATAATAATACTATCCTGAATCTGTCTTCCCCCTGTGAAGGCAGATTGTAGCTCGTTGACAAGTGGGGGCAGCCAGGGTTGAAGTCTGTTGGTAAGAATTTTTGCGATCACCTTGTATCTGAAGTTGCAGCAGCTGATGGGTCGAAATTGGCCAATCAGCTCCGGGGCTTCCACTTTAGGGATGATTGTAATGAGGGTATCATTCCAATCTTCGGGCATGATTCCAGAGCTGAAGAAAAGGGCGATTTCCTGACAGAATTTATCTTTCAAAGAGCTCCAGTATTTCCTGAAGAACAAGCCAGGGAAACCATCTGGGCCTGGAGCCTTGTCAGCTCCAAGCTGGAAGACAGCCCTGCGAATTTCATCATCATCAACGGGGGCACAGAGATTGTCGTTAGTCTCCTCTGAAACAAGACGAGGGAAACCATATGGTTGTTGGAGCCTCCAAAAATACGCCCTTCCCATGCATATAAAGTTATAAACTAACTAAAAAGACAACGCTAGCAAATGGGGGATTATTGGCAATTGAGTCCTTATGGGATGGGATGTCCATAGTTAACTCTTACACAGTGACAATGAGTTGCTGGAAAAGAATACAAACAACCCAAGTGATATGCCTACAGCTAACAGCCCACAGGTCACAGAAAAAGACTTAGAAGTCCTTCCTTGGATTGCGGGGAGGCCAGGAAATAATAAATTGAGTAGGTGCTGAATGATCAGAACCTGCTTATATATGCGATAGCAGATAATAATAAATGCAGTTAGGGGTCGTTTATAACATTTGATTTCGAAAATAGCGTATTACAAGAATGTGTGTACTAGGATTATG